GCGGGGCGCCCCCAGCCACGTCCACGGGGGCCCTCCCACAGACAAGGTTTGGAGAGGTGGAAACGTGAGGGCGTGCTGTGGGCCAAACGTTCATTTTCGTCCAACCTTTCCTGACTCTCTGCAGGAAATTAGTTCATTTTCTTGAGACTTTTGCCAAGTAGAGCCTAGAGAAAGCAGCAGAAAATGCCGAGGACAAAACCACACATCTTACCTGGCCTAAGATGGCTGAGATGAGAGACGTTTTTCCACTTCCCACGCTGCCGCAGATTCCGACCAGCTTACCCTGGAGAGAACACACAGGCAGGGGAGGTCAGAGACTACTGACCGCTCATGGCCAAGGACTTCGCTCTCACTGAGGAGCGTCAGCTGTCGGCACGGGAACTGTGGGGGCACGCTGAGGTAACGGGGTGGAAGCCTCTGGAGGAGCCGGAGGTGCCACACACATTCAGGAGTCCCGCCATCACCTTCAGGAAGGCCCCGGCCCTCTCCTTCTCATTGGTAACCCACGTTCCTTGTTAGTCTTGTCGTTTGGAAGGAGGGCAGGACACTCGGACACTCGACAGTTACGATTTCTCTCTGAGGTCTATAAATGATTTTCAATAAAAACTATGTATGTGCCTAGTGGCTAAGGCAGCCAGATCCCACGTGGCCAACCACAGTGTGAATCCCAGAATCCCACAATCAGTGGCTTGAGAAACACTCAACAGGATGGAGAAATGGAGGAGAAGGGTCTGTGGTATGACCGCACCCCTTTGAGGTGGTTTCTCACTCCCTTCCCACCTCTCTCGCTGGAGGGCACGCGTACCCTTCGGCAAACAAAACAAAAAACGACTATATACCCTGTTGCTTCCATTTTTCCACAAAATATTTCCACGAATCCGAGTCATATTTACAGAATCGATCTCACATAAAGTGGAAACCAAGACTGTGATTAACTGCATCAGGCGAACCTGAGTTCTCGGGAGGTGGTGCTGAGAGTTATCGCAGACAGACAGATGACTGTCAGGAGCCATGCGTTTGGCGACCCTGCCCTGACGCAGGCCTTCCAGGGAAGCAAGGCGTGGAGAGCGGTGGTACGGGAGGAGCATGGGTTCTGGGCCCCACCTCCACGTGTACCTGCTAATCACGTTGGTGTGGTTATTTGAACTGAGACTGTGTCTGCCTCCCCCCTCACTAGACTCTGAGCACCTTGGGGAGGGAGTTCTTGAAGAACCACTTCCAGGGAAGCAAGGCGTGGAGAGCGGTGGTACGGGAGGAGCATGGGTTCTGGGCCCCACCTCCACGTGTACCTGCTAATCACGTTGGTGTGGTTATTTGAACTGAGACTGTGTCTGCCTCCCTCACTGGACTCTGAGCACCTTGGGAAGGGAGTTCTTGAAGAACCAAGCACAGAATCTGGAACATAACAGAAGTAGGCTGAACCAGTAGTTTTTGCCATGCTCCAGGAGTCTGACAGATTACTGACTAGTGGTAAGGAAGGGGTCAAGCCACAGGTTCAATCTCTGCTCAGGCCAGTTGGGTTTACACCGACGAAAATGCTGCTCTGATGACTGCATGAGATCCCAACGACTCGACGGGACCTCGTGCCGGGAGACATTCACAAACACTGTGGTCCCGTTCCCTCCCCTACAGAGAAGGAAGGGCTGGGGGGTTCTAGCTAAAAGTCTGTCATGCGGGGGCGGCAGGTGGCATGGTGGTTGAGGGCGCTGGACTCTCATACGGCTAAGGTTTGAGTCCCGGACCTGGCGGCTTGCTTTCTCGCTCTCTCTCTGGGGTTCTCGCTCTCATTCTGTCCCTCTCTGGACAAATTAAAAATAAATAAATAAATAAAGTTAAATAAAATAATTCTTTAAAAAAGAGAAAATAAAGGTCTGTCATGTGTCTGTGGGTCCTCAAGGCAAGGATCAAGACACAGGCAGAGGGCCGGCCAGTGGCATGGTGGTTAAGGCACCAGACCCCACATGGCCGACTGTGCAGTTCCAGTCCCGTACCCAAGGGCTTGAAAAACACGCCACACACATGAGTATGTGTCCCCAAAATCCTGAGAAGAGAATGGGGGAGAAAGGAATACAGCGTGGCCACCCCCTGGGATGATTTCTCACTTTCTCCCTCTCTGCTTCTCTCTGCCTCGCTCTCCAGTGAGCACACGTGTTCTAATAGCAAAATAAAATAAAATAAAAGAATACGTTTCAGCTGGGTATGAGGGCTCTTCTACCAGAGCTGATGAGCTCCATCTGCAGCGCCCCATGATGAAGGCCAGAGGAACTGAGGACCCGCCCCTGAGGGCAGAGTGAGCACTGCACAGGGGAAGTGGGATGGCAGATGGCCACCAGGGTCCGAATCCTCTCCTGGAAGCTGGAAAAACATGCCAGGTACAGGTGCTCGTCCAGGATCCTGACGGGATAGACTGGAGGAGGAAGGGCTGCAGAGTGACCGGGTCCCACGGGGTACAGGGAGGGTGCTTGCTTTCTCTCTCTCACCTATGCACATGTACCTTCTGGTATTTATAAAAGGGAGAGAGAGAAAAGAAAGAAAGGGAGAGGCAGGCAATGAGTGAACTCAGGTAAAACACTGACTGCCCCAGCTCTCGCTACTCCCTCTTGTCCAAGCCCTCACGACATCTGACGTGCCACGGCCCACAGTGGCCAGCACTCGAAGGGCAGCTGGAGGAGTGGCGGCAGGAGCCTCAGGGACTGCTGGGCGGCACGGCCCTCTGCACACACTGCTGCTTTCCTGTCATATTCTCTTTTTTTTTTGCTAGAGGGTACATGAACTTGCCAGAGAGAGACAGAAAAAGAGAGAGGGAAAGTAAGAAAGCACCCGGGGGGATGTCCATGCAGTAATCGCATCTCCTCTTGAGAGTCTGGGCATGCACATGTGCTCAGTGTGTTTTCAAGCCACTGGGTCTTGGACTTGAACCATGCTATGGGCCATGTGGGATCCAGCCACCCTGACTACCACACTACCTACACACCTATATTTTTTTTCAAAAGTCTTTTTTGAGACAGAAAAAGAGAGGGGAAAAAAAATCCACAGGCACACACAGGTGTCCACGACAGCGTCTTTCCACGCCCCGTCTCCTCCTCGCCAGCCTTCCGGCCAGCCAGGATCATGGATGCCCTCACGGGTGTGCACGGCGTGCTCAAGTCAGGACTGCACCCGGGGCCGGCAGCACTGCATAGTAGTGCCCAACCACCCGTGCCCCACAGCAGGGCCCATTTTCTGTACACCAGAAGCTTGGAACCTGGGGTCTGCTCCAGTCACTCTCTCCAGGAGGGCCCCGAGATGCTAGTCCTCTGGTATCTGCCTGTGACGTCACGCGGCAGAATTCCCTTGACTTCTAGCAGCGAGTACTCACAGTGACTGCTGATAACAGCGGCACCGGGAATGCCTGTATGCCAGGTCTTCTGATGCACTGCCTGGCGGCGGCGAGGAGCCACAGTTACCACAATCAGAAGTAACTACTACAGCCCCGAAACCTATTCAGGGCAAAACCCTGGAAAATGCACTCGAATGCCTCATTTCCTCGCCTCTCTGAGAGCAGTTGTC